AAAAACACACATCATGGTAAAATCAATACATTCATCGCTCTGCTCAGAATCTAAAATCTAAGAATTTGAAAATATAGATTTTAATCGTACTCAAAAAAATTCAAAACCCAAATTGTAATAAATTCATTATTAAAATGTCCAATGAGGGGGGGATAAGCATGATTGGTGAATCATTATGTACAAAACATAATATGTATACTTGAGTGTTGTAGTTTTATTAGTCATAGGTCATAGGATTAAGCCGCTTACGTAACCTACGCTCATACCTTATAACGGATTTCGACTTATTGTAAATTATATGGTTCATACTAAAACTCGGAAAAAACTTAAGATCGGTCTTCGTTTTGTAATAATAATTCGACATTTTAAGGCCACAAGATTATAATCGTAATTCAAACCAAAAGCCCTGCTATCTATTTATGTATGCGCCGTTTATTTTATTGTTATCGATCAAGAAATGTATTGTAAGACGAACGCACCGATCATAATTCTTCTTACCTATATTATTATTATAATATATATATATTATGCTATACACTGATACCACGGTATACCGCACTGTTACCTATTCATATAATATTATCTTTTATGTTTATTTATTTTTTTTTAACTTTATAATGCGGATCGATATTACATATGAGATTTTGTAGAAGCCTTAATACACTGTAGAAGTGTAGAGTATAAAAATAAAATATTCACTGCAGAGTAGGTACCTACCTAGTAGTGTAGTGTGGCGTTTAATAACGATTTGTAAGACTACGGTTGAGGTCAAAAATTGACGTAGATATAGATTATTCCAAACATAAATAATAATACGGGTAAGCTTCGCGGCTAAAATATTATCATCTAATATATGATCATACACATTTTTTCCTTTAATGATGAATTTTTACGAATTTTGGTTTTTTAAATTTGTATGTGTGTCTACAAAAAATACTTAGATTTCGTATACTATATTTTAGAAAGTGTCCAGCGGTGTTATGAACTTATTTTGTTCTAAATTAGCAACATTTGTTTTTAATATTGTTAAGCGGATAATTATTTTTTAAGATACAGTTATGTATCAAAGTTTGAATTATTAGTTTTGCAGTATATTAAAAATGATGGACTAAAGATAATTTATTGTCTTTATAATATTATGATTTTACAAAAATATAAAATAGATATACCATTGTATTCAACAAATCTAGTACTAATTATTGCACTCAGCCAACTTTTACAGATCAGTTAGTGGATTATTATTATCTTTCAATAAATTAAATCTACCAATTTATTTAAAATTATTATCATCGCGAACCTATCTGCATAAGTTAAATGAGTATCCAAAACTACGCGTTAAAATTTAAATTTAAGCAAGTATCTCTATTTCGAAAAGAAATTCATCTGGTTGGCAAATTTACAGAAAAAATGGTAATTTCGATTTGAAAAAGAAAATGTACACAGGGCACTCATATTTAAATAGTATAGAACAATCTATATCTATAATATGTATTTGTAAATATATTTTCCTATTCCAGAAATAATAATTATTAATATTATTATAGGATGAAATTGGTATCAACCTGTAATCAATATGGATAATATTTGTATATAGTATATTAAATCACACGAGCTATATGCATCTTATTATAAAGAAAAAAAATATCTATATTTTCCAGGCAATTACAGTTGCTTGGTAGCGCAGTTCTACCTGAGCCGAAGCGTGGGTTTCCATCTGGTCCAGAGTTATCTGCCCACCATGCTGATCGTGGTAATCTCCTGGGTGTCGTTTTGGATGGACGTTGACTCGGTACCTGGCCGGACCACATTGGGAGTGACTACGCTACTCGCCGTCGGTTCGCAGTCTTCGGGTACGTTGTGGTACACTTCAATAATATCATATTATTATTCGAATGCATTTTTTTCGATGCCAATAAATAATATCAGTTTTTCTAATCTTTTCGACGTTTCATGCGTGTCTTTACACAGGTATCCAAAGTGGTCTGCCGCAAGTCAGCTACGTCAAGGCCATAGACGTGTGGATGGGCACTTGCACAGGTACGATACAAGTATACAACACAGTTTGACAGTGTGTAAACACTGCAGGTACCATCCTACCTATATAGACATTAAAAGTATTAAAAATTGATTGACCAAAATATGCTATTCGAAGGTTTGTTCGTGTGTATTTGAATTAATGTTCTTTTTAAATTAATAATTATATTAATTTATCCGCCTACCATTATTTAATAATAATGGTAGGCGGAAAAAAGCCCATGGAAAAAAAGCCCACGGAAAAAAAGCCAGAAATATGAATAAATATAAGTGTGAACACTTATATACCGTTTTACACTTTTACCATTTTATCCTTATAATTTTTTAAGTTTTTACTTTTTTGAATGACAATATAGCTTAGTTTTAATTTAATTATAAAATTATTTAATATCATATTACACTATACCCAACAAAATATGTATACTATAATATTATTGTTATATTTTTAGTCGACTGACCTGCTGTGACTATATTTCTATTATTATATGACTATATTATGTACCTATTATTTTTATATTTGAGTATCCGTAATCCGTATATAAAATTGCCTATAATAATATGCTGAGCTCGACGTCTCGTACAATATACAGTTTAACTGCAGTGTGTAAAAACGAATACCATCACCTACGCACATTAATAATATTTACCTACAATTGTTTAACCAAGTGCTATTCAAAGGTTTGTTCGTTCCTATTACAATGTATTTTTTTAAATTAATATAATAATAATATGCTGAGCTCGAAATCTAGTACAATCAATTATTGATTTTATGAATATTAATAATAAATTATACAAGAAAAATATTCCGCATTATTTCGTAACTATATTACTGGCCAAATATTAACTTACTCCTCACAAAGAGAATTACATTCTTCTGATATTCATCACCTTTGTTGTAATTGTCCCTCGAGGATGCCACACCCGAATTTGCTGTCTCCGCATGACCAACATTGTAAAATATTTACATTCAGCAGTTCGCGTTTATCACCTATTATCAAACTTCTATATACTTATCATTTTATTTTATTTATTTTGTGGACGGTTTTTTTTTCCGATAGCTTAATTTTGAATCCAGTCATTAGCAGAGCCAACCTAGAGCAATATTTGATACCTGTTAACAAGCATTTCATGTATAAAAATATAACATCGTTCAATACCTCGACAACTCGATTAAACATAGAGGAACAAAATACTTACAATATGTATATTAATTTGAACATAAAAAAAAGTTTAACACCCTGGGAGCCGAAAACTACTACTGCTGCGCCTATATGTTATGCCGGCCCTGGTTATGAATATCATTAAACTGTGAATACCTATTGTAATAATTTCGAAAACATACTAGTAACAATGCAGACAACAATTTCGTTACAATTTAGGTTTGATAATAGGTAGATTTACTAAATGATATTATAATTAAACTTACGAAGCTGAACATGAACTGAATATTAGTGTAAATTTATCAATTTCTACTCACTCATGAGTTATGAGTTGAAGACATCTATACAGATGGAGTCGTGGTGTTCTTTTTGTATAATTTATACCTACCAATATATAATTTAATATATTATCATTAAATATTTTTTAACTTAATATCTATAATGCATTCATTTTACGCCTACCTAGGTTGTAACCTGCCAGTGTCTGAAAATTTCTTAAAATTTAAAATTGTAAAACATTTCATGAAATATTTTAAATACATAAAATAATTTTTTTTTTAATCAGCTTTAGTTTTACATTTATAATATTGTCATAACTCACCTTCAAAATTTTATAATATTACGAAAAACAATTTCTAACTACTCATTATATTAATGGTTTTCTTTGATTAGGTTATTGATAAATAATCATTACTAATATTTGTATTAGAACAAATTTCAATGTTTCACGTTTTTGTGAAATATTTCATCACATATCGAAATATTTTATACTACCCACACAGTCACGCCTCGCCCCTAGAACTTTTATATCATTGCTATTTTATGAATTGTTTATATGCTTACAGCCTTCGTGTTTTGCGCGCTGCTAGAATTCACGGTGGTCAACTACATGTGGAGAAAACTGAGACCAGACATATTAAGAAACATACTAACGGAACCGGTGAATGGTGGCACCGCAGGCACAAAACCATACGATGAAAATCGACCCTCGTCGCCAGTCATACCAGTCAGCGTGGTAATGACAGTTCAACAAACAGTTGTTGAACAAACACGTTAAACGTATATCAATGTATCATTAAAATGGTCGATGTGATCTGAGGGGCAGTGCATTTTGCGCTTCCTACCACAGTACTATTACAATATAAATCTCGTTCACTGAAAACACACACATTATTTTCTTAACGTACTTTTATTTCTATAACAGTAAATTTCTTTGTACTTTCTAAGTCACTCGTATATCGCCAGGTTTTGGATTTATATTTAAGTGCTTACTTTTAATAAATTTTATTGTAGGTATACTATACATGGTATGAAAAAATTGTATTTCATCGCATCGAAATGCGTCAATTTCTAAACAACAGGCCCGTATACACTGTAACGAAAAAAGCTGTCCGCAATTTATTAAAAATTTTCTAAGGTGAAAATTTTTTTACAATACGATCGTTGTTCATAACTGTTGTACCCTTGCACCAATACGTTTAAAATCACAGCTTCTCACCGAAGTTGCAGATAAGAGACCTTCAAACATCGATACATCATTTTAATATGTCTGTAGCCGGTTAAATCTGTTGAAAAGAGGTGAATTCAGGATATAATATCTTTCATATTATGAAGATTTTGAGGTTTTTTTTTTTTTAATTGAATTATGAACAGAATAAATTTTCATTTTTGCTATTTTCCAGAGGCATATTATATTATATAGCGTTTATTTAAAATATTTAAGGTGCATATTTGACTATTCATAGTGCCATAAAATCCGAACCCTGTTTATAGGTAATATACCTAATGCTAATATACGATATAGACACACCTAAACTATAAGCAGCGCAATTGGTGTACCTACCCTCATTGGTATTAAAATGTAATCTAAGGCGCAACGGGTCTATGCTGGTGTCCGCGAGCATCGTTTCTCATCCACTCGCGCTCCTGCGACTGCACCTTACAGGTCGATCCGACGGTTTTACTCGCCACACCATTGGCATTCCTGAGGGTGGAGGAGTTACACAAAAAGTATAGAATTTTAAATTTATTTTCCAAAGCCTTATCTGTAACATGTGCCAATTTAGTTAACATAGCAGATTACTTTTAAAATGTATTAAAAAATCTTCATCTATTGGTTAAATTAACTTCCCCCCCCTAGAAAAATTTCAGGGAACACCGATGCTCCACACCTATATATATAATAATACATATTACGATATTTTTAATAAAGTGTACCTATATATATATATATATATATATATTAATATCCTTATACTATGATGTCTGATTCTCGTGGTGTGTGTTCTGTTGGACAGGTCAAAAAAATCTTACAACAAGAGTGCGCGTATTCAACGGCCGCGGAAACCAACACTGTGCTGGCGAGAAAAATCGACGAATACTCCAGACTGCTGTTTCCGGTCGCGTTCATAGCGTTCAACGCGCTATATTGGCCGTATTATTTGCAAAACTAAAAAGAAAACACCGTCCCCGCGTCGCCGCCGCCGTCACAGCAACAGCATCGCCTATATAAAGGACTGAAATCTGCGACCAACGGACAACACGCGCTCGCCTATATAATAATATTACACCACAATCACCATCCGCGTATTATAACGCCTCCGTTATACACCCGCGTAATAATAATAATAATAATAATAACAATAATTATAAAAAAAAATATGATCGTCGCAGCCCTCTCCGCGCGCGTGTGTATTGTTTTCCCTTTACAAAATCTCAGCGAAAAATGAAATATACAAACACACTGCACGTCGTGTCTACTACGCACGCACTATAACTTCACTGTTGCAGCAACTGCAGGTGCAGGATACTTATATATTATATACGTGCCGCGCAACATGTCGATAAAATATTTCGCTACGGTGTGATGATGATGATATATCATCTACCACAGTATATTGTTATTATATAGATGACATACATTGACATCTGGCCGATATTTCTGCTGTATGCGACACAATTCATCGTCACATCGGCGGCGGTGGCGGCGACAGAATGACATAGAAGATTCCGCGTTATGTCGTCACGAATAACATTATGACGTCGACGTCCGGCTTGGTCCGTACGTCTCACTTCCATACTATTGTTTTTCCATAATAATAATATGTTTAAATTCTATTTATTTTTTTTGTCTGTCTCGGCAAACACAACAGACGTTCTCCGTAAACCAACCCTCTCCGGCACACAGTATCACAACTACCCACACGACCTACTCCGCGATTCGCACGCKCGTACAAATATTATTATGCGTCATAATAATATACTCATACAAACAATGACGGGCTCTTCGATTATTCAGATCGGTTGATCGATTCTAGTCATATTTTTGTTCAAATTACGATTTTGTACGTTTTCCAGTAAGTATGCCTAGTAAAGTTGTTGTTATAAAGACAATATTTTCAAATGCTTTATAGATTTAGAGGAGCGTCGTGAACTCATAATTATTTTTACCAAATGTGAACTAATCCTTTAAACTGTAAAATGTTAAGCAGATGATTTTTTTTTTTTAATGTTGATGTATAATCGATTATTATCGTGTATAACCGAAAATCTGTTAACTATAGTACCTAGTATAGAAATTTAAATTATTCGAGTATTATTGTTTAAAGAAAAAAATTAGATGGGTACATAATAGGTTTGAAAAATAAATAGGAAGTGTTTATGGTGATTTTAATTATTAATCATATGTATTTAAATGAATCTATTAACATTTTATACAATTTGTTTAAATGGTACGATTCTAATATACTCGCTAGACTACATTAAATTATTAAATAATATGTTATAAATTGTATGGAGGGGACTATTATCCGTAATCGTTCTTAATTGTAATAACTCAAAAACTATTGGTTAGAATTTATAGACTGGTATCTAAATATTTCCAAAATAATCATCTACTCAACAACATTTCATAACATTTAAAAATATGGCGGTCCATAAGCATATGCAATACGCATACTTCGAAATTCCGAAAATTTTAAATTGAATAAATGCATCTTTAAAAGAAAAAATGTCGGTGAGCGTGCTTAATTAATTGTCCTGTATATAATATTATACATGCTATACACCGAGAAAACATAATCTGCGGACCATCCCCTGCATTATACTGCTTAAACGCATAAAAGTACTACCGTTCGTGATTTTCGTCTTCTTTTGTTATCTTTCTCTTGTTTTTATTCCCGTATAATACAGTACAGTTCCAGGTGTATCCCACTATATAATAGGTATTTAGCATCTAGGTGGTACTATTATCACCTCACAGTGGTTTTCTCGGTGAACGTTTATGTTTTTGAAAATATGCTCTTGCTCAGACATTTTGAAGTCTTGAAAAAAAAAACATAAAATTACTGTGCAGTGATGTTAAAAGAATCGCTCTGTATTTACGCGCCCGTGTACAAAATTACTATACAAACCGAATACGTTTACACCGCACTAATAATGAGATTATGTTTATGGTAATTCGAGATCATCGTGGTTTGTATCTTTACATCTTTGTCGAATAATAATAACTCGGTCCGAAAACCCCGAAAATTATAGTACCCACTTCAATCCTTGTCATTCGTTCGTTACGCGTTTTAATTTGCGCAGTATCACATGAAAATTCATCTCATGTATGTCCGTCCTCCTACATAAATTCTATTACATCMGGTAATTTTTAAACCAGAAAAAAAAGTCTTAATACAAACAATAAATTACATTTTCAACATTTCGCATCCATCATTAATACGTTTCACTGTAAATAATAAAATTACACTTATTTATTAACAATAAAAATAATATACTAAGTTACTCGACAACACATATTTTATTACGGTTTTTTTGTTTGAAATCTTTAAATAAAAATTATGTTTGAGGCCTAGCCCCACTCCCCATCTCACTCATGGATTGAAATTATTTAAGCGATATTATATTGTGTTGAATATAATATGATTAGAGTTTATATTTTGAATCATTAAATAACTATTTAAAATATGGCTATAAAACTAAAATCCTTAATAAAAAGAACGATAAAATCTGTTTTTAAAATTAAGATTATGTTTACACTGATAATTTAATTCATATATCCTGGTATCAATTAACTATAATCTCCAAAACTCCAATAATTAAGATTATGTTTACACTAGTATAATGTTGTTGTTATTTTTCTTTTCAATGGTTAATCTGTACACTTTATAGCCTTTTCTGGGTAGCTTATAAAAATAAATAAAATAATAATATGTTTACCTATACCTATCCTATCTATCACTGAGTTTCATTGAAAAATAAAATTTTTTTAAGTTTTCAAAAACAAATCCTTGTCAATAGTTAGACACTACATATAATTTATTTATAATTGAAAAAACTATGTCCTACGTCAACTGATAAAGTTCGATTTTATTTTGATCTAAAAATTGAATAACAAAAAATATTTGGTATATATTTTTATTCCTTCGTATAATAAAAATAGTTTAAGCCGTAAAAAGGTATTAAAAAATAAAAATATCCAAAATCAGCCCAAAAAAAACAAAATAAAATTATGTAGATGCATTTAATAAATTGTATTAAGTTTATAGTACGTTATTTCGTTATATAAATCATATATTTTATCGCTAATATAACTTCGTTTTGAACCGATTAGCTGCAAGCAAAAAAAAATGTCATTATAATGTTATATTATATTTTATTCATTATTTTACAGGTATAATTTTCTCTGAAACCTACGCATTATTATCACAATATAGTCCAAGATTCTTAAATTTCAACGCCCGTCGTGATTTTTTCTAACCATTCAAGTATTTTTAAGCTAATTTTTAGTATGACTTATACCTGTACATGTTTAATAACAATTAAGATAAACCAGTATTATACCTGTACATAGGTATTACAAATAATAGTTATCCTTATTCACCTATTTTATGTCACAAATTTATAATACATCCTTTATGTGTACTCAACACAATGGTTCATTATTTTTCAATACATTTACCTATTTTTTAGTGTTGGTTTATAATACAGGGTGATTATATCATTGAACACTCATTATTTAAAAAAGTATTTTACTTTTTCAAAATATTTTTTTACATAGTTTCAAGTGGTTAAAAAACCAACGTTTTTATTAAAAAATTATATTTTTAAATATTTTTTATCCTTATCATTTTTTAAGTTTTTTACTTTTTTGAATGACAACATAGAGTTTTAATATCATATTCCAAAGCAGAATATTTTTCTAATTATTTTGATACGTAAAAATTTAATTTTGGACGAGTAGTTTATGAGTTATAAGTATTTTAAGTTTAGATTGGAGGAGTGGAGTAGTACGGGGTTACCCCGCAAAATGTTTGTCCACTACTCCGCTTGTATAAATTTTAAATACTTATAACTCATAAACTACTCATCCAAAATTCGATTTTTACGTATCAAAATAATTAGAAAAATATTCTGCTTTGGAATATAATATTAAAACTCTATGTTGTCATTCAAAAAAGTAAAAAACTTAAAAAATTATAAGGATAAAAAATATTTAAAAACATAATTTTTTAATAAAAATGTTGTTTTTTTAACATGAAACTCTGTAAAAAAATATTTTCAAAAACATTGATACTTTTTGAAATAATGAGTGTTCAATGATTAAAGAATCACCCGGTATATTACGACATATAACTCAATCCGTGGTCTGCAAACGACTAATTGATATGATTTTTACTAAAAAATCAGACCGCTCCAAAATTTAAATTCATGAATCTATAGAATACACTATATATATTAAACTATATTCAACAGTATATTAGTATAATATTCACAGCGGTGAGAGGGGAGGGATAATTTTAACTTTAAACCTGTTGTTTTTTATGTATAAAAATAAGTATAAATGTCAATAAGAGTTTAATCGTTTTTTTTAAATATTTTCATTTATAAGCATACCTATATTATTATAATATAATACATATATTTTATCATGTGGTCCAATATAACTATATAAATAATATAATCGCTCTACATTATTTTGTTTCAATAAAATACTACGGTTTGACCTACTCTCGCGATGGACGGAATCCGGCTATATAAGACCACCGCTGCACGGAGTGTATAATTATTAGTTCATAATATAATTAAGTTCAATAGGTAAAATATTATGAATTTTGATTTTAGTGGTGTGTATAAGCGTAATCTGGGATAAATTATTGGTGGAGGGATGGGGACAGTCTGTGGTATAACTAAAAATCAATAAGATAACATTATTGCTCACTCAGTTAAATATCTGAGGGAGCTTCTGTCTCCTCCTCCCMCCTTTGTACCCTCAAGATTACACCTGTGGTGGTATGTTATACCTACAGTATTTAGATAAGTAATTTTGTGGTTGTCTAGTTTATACAGATATAGTCTTAGTATACCACCATCGATGTGTAATTTGAAAGTGTTCCTTATTCGCATGGCCGAATCCGATTCGGTCCTAAATTTGAGCTCTCTCGTGACGAACAAATTTAACGAGCAAGCCGCACTAGAAAATATTGGAGGAGACGAGTTCGGCACGCTGTTGTCACCGTTGTCGGTGGTGGACAGCTGCAGAACGTGTCTGACCGAGGTACATATTAATATTATATAATTATCGTTGTTTATTATTAATACGATATCTGTAGACACTTGCTGTAAGCGATCCGCATGCTCGTCGTATCAGCCGGGTCCAAGTTATAAAACCGTTCCAACCCAGAATTTTCGTGAACCTTATAATAAAAATATTGTACATGTAATATATTATAACTTTTAAATTTAATGCATACATTTAATATATGATTATACAAAGTGATTTTTTTCTACGTAATCAACTCGTTTTATCTTGCAAAATATGTTGTGTAATTTTTTTTATTGCATGTTCAAAAAACGGAATAAGTGATTTTTAAAATTTTTAGTTGATGTTTATAAATTACGAGCTGCGAAATCCCTTAGTTTATAATTTGTCATAAGCTTTTAAACGAAAGTAAATTGTTGGTTCCAAAATCCCATTATGTTTGTAGATATATCTAAATGTTATTGTCCTATTCTCACAAAAACAAGTGTTCATCTCGATGTATTAAAAATTTAAATGAGGTTCGACGATATAAAAAGAAATGAGTTAACTTGTAAACGAAATAATAGTATGAAATAAAAGATTTTTTTCAAAATCTTAAAAACGAACTAATAAAATGAGATCATTTTCTGTTAAAAAATCACTTTGTATACACCGTGCCGGGTGTATCACGTTCGGAATTCTCCGTGTTTAAAGTATGTGATTTCAGTGTAAAATAATCGAGATCTTAGTGATACGCCCTATTTTATAAATTATTATAATATTTGAATGGTACGGATGGTTATTTGCCGTCTAATTTATTATGTGCTAAATTTAATACCGTAGTTAGTTATTTATGACATTGTGCATCTAAACGGTTTAAAAATATATATTATATAATAAAGTATTATCTAATTATTTTCTGTTATTCTATATTATGTGTTAAATTAAAATCTATTTTATTGCCTAAATATTATTGAATTTATTATATTATATCAATATTACCTTTATATTATATATATAATAAATATGCGTTGTAAATATTATTATAAAGATACTTACTTTTCAGTGAAAACCATTTCATGTTGTTGTTTTTACTAGATCCTAAACAAATATATTTTTACT